TATATATATATATATATATATATATTTAGAGCATATTTGGATACAAGTCTACAAATACTTTTAAGAGCTTATCTATTAAAAAAAACTTTATTTTCACATCTCAAAAGCTCTTTTAGAGTGTATTAAAAAAGACACTTATAATTGAGATAATAAACTAGGAAATGATGCATGTGTTGCTAGATATTAACTCCTACAACCAAATTCATTTGCAGGAGATTCAAGTGGGGATGGGTCCTTGTGGGGAGTTGAGATATCCGTCTTATCCAGAAAACAATGGAACTTGGAGGTTTCCTGGAATTGGAGAATTCCAGTGCTATGATAAGGTAAAAATTAAATGCACAAATTTTGCTCTATTTTCCAAACACAGCGTAGAAGCATGCTAATGTTACACATGTTGCATAACAATTGGACCCCTAAATCTCTAGCTTTGTGGTAACAAGGACATCTCAAATGTGACAAAATTTCAAAATATCTTTCTCCTTTTTTGGGGCTTCCTGTGAGTTACTAAAAGGACTTGTTTGTCATGCAGTATATGAGAGCTTCCTTGGAAGCATCAGCTGAGGCCATAGGGAAGAAAGAGTGGGGAAGAAGTGGACCCCATGACTCAGGCCAGTACAACCAATATCCTGAGAATACTGGATTTTTCAAAAGGGAAGGAACGTGGAACACTGAATATGGAAAATTCTTCCTTGACTGGTACTCCACCAAACTTCTCGAACATGGCGAGAAAATCCTTGTATCAGCCAAAGGAATATTCAACTCTTCTGGAGTGACTCTATCTGCCAAAGTAGCTGGAATTCATTGGCACTACAAGGCAAGGTCACATGCAGCTGAACTAACTGCAGGCTACTACAACACACGGTTTCATGATGGTTACTTGCCAATAGCACAAATGCTGGCAAAACATGGAGTTGTGTTGAATTTCACCTGCATGGAAATGAGGGACAGAGATCAACCTGAACACGCCAATTGTTCGCCAGAGGGGTTGGTTCATCAGGTGAAGATGGCAGCCAGGACAGCTGGAGCAGAAGTTGCAGGGGAGAATGCACTTGAAAGATATGATGCAGGTGCGTTTTCTCAAGTTGTGTCAACGAGTAACTCTGGTTCTGGTTTGGCTGCGTTTACTTATCTGAGGATGAATAAGAGGTTGTTTGAGGGAGACAATTGGCGGCACTTTGTGGAGTTTGTGAAATGCATGTCTGAAGGTGGTAAGAGACAAAGGCTTCCAGAGTCTGATTCATGTGGAACTCATCTTTACGTTGGCCACATCGCAGGAATTCAGAGGAAGCAAGTTCAAGAGGCTGCTCTTGTGTGAACAACTTATAGCTTAATGTATACAGTTATAGTATGGTTAAATTAACTGCATCGTGATTTTTATAGAAGAAAAAAAGTGGGGAAAAGAGATAGAATTATGATGGGTATACGCAAGGAAAATGGCATATTTCTACGCCAAACCCTGACATTATTCGGAAAATATTATTTGTATATTGTTAAAAGTCCAATAAATGCTGTTCAGTTAGTTCCTGGAAACTCATCTTCTGTATTTCTCATGAAGTTGATTGTTTGTTCCAAGATAAAACCCTATTCAGTGGAAACTCCACCATGCTACAAGGTTCACTTCCGGATAGATTTACAAATTACGAATAGACCCTCCTTTTCACTATTGACTGTTTATGTAAAAAAGTAAAAGTCAATGTTAGATAAAGTAAAGACAATACACTACAGGACCTGACTAGTACTTATTAATATGTAATTTGTTGAGTTAATAGATCCCACCCATTGGCCTTAATTAAATTACAGAAGGAATGATAGGGGCATTTTATATCTAACATTCTTTCTATCATTTGACAGAATTTTATTAGAAATTACTAATTTTAGTAGGTCAGATCACTAAATTAGAAGAGAATTTTGTTGATTAAGACATGAAACTTTCATAACTTTAACGCTTTTAAAGAAATTCTACCAATTATAAAGAGAAGGTTAGAGTGTTGGAGAGAGTGAGCTAGCATTCCTTAACAAGAGAAATACTCTGATTTGGTCTGGATCCGCAAGAATTGTCCATAAAATTTGCCGGCATGAAGCTCTGCCAGTGGTTGCTTTTTGGTTTTTCTGGTCAACCAGTAGTTGCATTCAAGTAATTTGCCTTATTGACTGTCTAGTCCAAAGTCTTCTTTTGACAGTGTTTGTCACCTCTTGGCGAACAATTTAATTCTAACATTGATTCCATTGCCTAACACCACCCACCAATTCCATTTAGGCATTTATATTAAATTCCAACTTTTAATTCCATTGAATTCCACAACTCGTCAGTTCGAACAGAAACATTAACATAGTTTTGTCAAACATCATTTATTAGCCTTTTTCTTTTTTTTGAAGTATTTATTAAGACTTTGTTACTCTACTAAAATCCTGGAAATTGTTATTTTATCTTTATTATTTTTGGTGAAAAAACTTAGGTACAACTAATCCTATTTGCCGTAAATATCTATAGTTTTTAAGGCCAAATCATTTAACCCTTTATCTTAGCTAAGTTGGTTGATAATCGTCATAATGGTGTGCATATATCCAATGAACAGTGTAATTAAATCAACTTTAGGTTTGAAAGGTATAATAAATCAATCTCTTGACAAAAATTATATGTAATGCATATTATATTGGGATTAAATCGCACTAGCTAGACACTAAAGAATTTTGTGAATTGTTTCAAACTTTTCCAACATTGATCCACAACACAACACCCTCCCCAACAAATCTGAGAGGGAAAATATTAGCATAATTTAGTCAGAAAACCTTTTTTGAGGCTTTACCTTGTCAATAATACAATGTTTAAAGGGATGAATTTCGCAACTCGGAAAATTCCAAGTCCGCTGCAGCACCACTTACACCGCTTGTTATGAATCAGATCGTGGTAATACAATAGAATAGACTTTTTCAACGGTATAGCTTTATACTTGGGCACATTAAGAAAAAATGGAAAGCACAGTTATGAATATATACTTCGAAGATAATTTACTTCATTCATTGGAAGACTGGTAAGTTTCCAACATACTGCAAGGTTCCTATGAACTTCCGGATAGATTTGCAAATTATGGACCCTCCTTTTCACTTCCACTAATATTGTCTATTTTAGTGAATTGGCTTTGTGGAACTGCAAAAAACATTCTAGAACAGCATTTATTTACCACTTGGGACCAATTTAGATCAGGTGGATTTAGAAGTCATATTGTGCGAAGTGTTTTTGGTTTCTGAATCCTGCAATGCTTGCTTCAAGCTTTCCACTATCTGACTCATGGATGGTCTATCTTCAGGATTCTTCTTCAAGCAGCTATCTGCCAACTTGGCTATTTTTCTTGCTGCACCAAGAGAATACTGGTTCTTGAGACGTGGGTCAACGATGGTGCTGAATCTGCTACTGTTGGCAGGGTAATTCTTAACCCACTCTATAAGCTTTTGTTCCCCTGTTGGATGGTTTCTATTCAATACGCGCCTCCCTGTAAGGATCTCATAAAGTACCACACCAAAACTCCATATGTCACTCTGAGCTTTAAGGTGACCTGTTTGAACATACTCTGGTGCAGCATATCCCTGTGTTCCCACTACCTGAAAACAAAGTCATTGGTGTACACACATTGTTAGAGTGCTCATTTCATAATTTGTTTCAAGAATGATGTGTGATTGTAGATAATTAATGCATAATCAAAGCAATACTGCTTAAATCACGATGGTTACTAAAATTTGCATATATGGAAAGTCATAAATTGAATAGTAGTGAAAATTATAGGACTTCAACTTACCGCAGTAGATACATGAGTCTGATCACCTGTTGGGCCCTCCCTAGCAAGACCGAAATCTGAGAGCTTGGGATGGAATTTCTTGTCCAATAGCACATTTGAAGATTTGAAATCTCGGTAGATCACCTTCGAATAAAAAATTTAAAACAAGAGTAAGATTATAAACAAAAACAGATAGTTGAATATCTAACAACTTGCATTGCATATTCGGCAATCAGCATCACCTAAATCATCATTATATGCTCTGCATTTCCTTTTTATTCTTCCCATCAAGGAAGTTGGGTTAGCATTAAGCTACATAAGAAGGTCAACATACACATTATATGAATCCAGCAGGATACTTTAGTTCTACTATGACACAAACATAATGCTTTATATAATTATAGCAGATTTGATACAAAAAATTAAAAATGCCAATCAATTTGTTTTCTCAAGTACTAGTGCTACTACCTTAAAGTATAGTAATAAATTACGAATTAGAAATATGAAACATTTGGCAAGTACCTGAACCTCTAATCCGTTATGTAGATAATGTAATCCTTGAGCAGCACCGAGCATGATCTGCAATCTTGTATTCCAAGGCAAATGAGGTAAAGAAAGACTGAAAAGATGATCCTCCAGGCTCCTGTTTGGCATGAATTCATACACCAACAACCGTTGGATTCCTCTTTCACTGTCGACAGAGCAGTATCCCAGAAGCTTAACCAAATTCGGGTGGTTAACAACGCTGAGAAATTGAACTTCCGCAAGCCATTCTTTATGCCCCTATACAAAATAGAGAGAAAAAAAATGAGAAAGCGGGTATATTTGTAAAGTACAAGTGAAGTATTGGCATAATTCAAAGACAGCTTAACATAATTGACCCTGTAAATGCGCTGTCCATTCCAAGTTATCATATAGTTCCTAACAATCATGACATCAACTTTTTTCTTACAAGTAAAAATTAGCCAATTAGTAATAATTTAATTTATAGAAACCCTCTCATTTAGCTTCTTCAAAAGTTGATTTTGTCTTCTACATAAACTAATTTTATCTTATGTGAGAAGCTTAATTAAAACATGATATAGCCACCTATACCAATTAAAATCATTGTATCATGCATTGATCAGCCATCAGATATAAATCTAAAAGTTTCTTTTTTTTTACTCCCATGAGCGTTCATTGAAAAGTTCTATCCAAACAAGACATAGCCACCTAGACCAATTAAAATCATTGTATCATGCATTGATCATCGATCTGGTTGGATATAAACCTAAAAGATTTTTAGAGCTTCTCGGACAAAAAATTCTTTCATTTTATTTGAAAAACTATCTAACCAGACTTTGTATCATGTTTGCAACTGTCCAATGGAAGAAGCTCTTTCAACCAGTATAAACAAATAGAAGGGACTGAAATGAGAAAAAAAAACTACTTCATTGATAGCACTCAATGGAACTATATGCAATAACAAGGAGAATAAACTGTAACTAACTTTTGTGTTATATGTGTAATACTAACAAAGCAAAAAACAAAAGCATGGAGAGAACATAGCTGGTGAAACAGTGCTTGTGTGTACCTGTAAGCCACGCGTGTTAAGTCTTTTTATTGCGACCACAATAGGATCACCTCCATCTTCAAGTCTAATTTTTCCCCTATATACTATCCCAAAACCCCCTTCTCCAATCTTCAGCATCCTATTGAAACCATGTGTAGCATCCACAAGCTCTTGCAAAGTGAAAATTCTAAAGTTGTGTTCTTTCTCTTTGTACAATTCTTTTATGCTCCTTGGCGATGGTACCGAGCTGGGGGACTTGGTTGCTCCATTCACCACCTGGTTTTTCTTCTTCCTCCCTTTCGGTAATTCTGGGTCGGATTCTGATTTCTTTCTGAAGAAGAAACACTTCATTTTCTAATCATCAAGTTACCGAATTTCCTCACCGGAGCAGAGTACACAAAGGTCGAGAATTTAAATGGAAACAAATGGAACAAACTAGGTTCCAGAATGAAATGGTGAATGTGAAAAGGAGAAAATGAAGAACTCGGAAAGAAATGCAAATCCCGAACTTTAATGTGGGGTTCGTTCCGTGAAATGAAGGAAATTGAATTGAATGATGATGAGACTAATGGGACTTAAAGGAAAAACCCGCGTGGGAACACGCGTTTATGTACAGAGAAAAAGAAAATTAGCAACCAAAAAGGTTAATCTTTTTAACTTTAGCAAATAATAACCTTGTAAAGTTTGTGATCATGGTCCAAAATTATGTGTATAATAAATTATTTATTAGGATCAAAGAATTAGTATTATCTACATGTTATGTCGATAAATAATAATACTCGAATCAGAAATCTTATTTAAAAAACTGATTTTTTTTTTTATGTGAAGATGCTTGAATAAAAAATGTTAAAAAGTTAACTAGAGTGATAAAGACACAAGTGAGACTTATGAAGAATGAGGTCGGTCCATGTCTATAACTTAATAATAATAATAATAAGGGAAGAGTTGAATGATTAAAATAAAGACTTTCAAAGTTGGATGAAAACTTGAACGTCTACAGCAACCAGCCAACCACACGCGAGGTTTGGTTAATACCCTTGAATGATTTTCATCTTCATCTTCATCTTCATCTTCAACGTGTGAGATACGCAAAAGTGACTATGACGCTGTTGGTTTGACCGTCAATTTGGTGAAGAATTAATTTGAATACAAGAAAGTTATGACCATGCACACGCAATAAATATTATTTAAAGAGGATGTGCAATATTCCATGGATGACCATGCCGTAACCTAGTCATGCAGATAACATAGGTTATGGTGAACGTTCAGGTTCAAACTATAAACATGTTGCTCAATCAATAGCAACTGCTATGTGCATTTACATTCGAGAGAGAAATAGAATATTGAAAATATTTAATCAAGAACGAGAATAGTGGAGTTATGAATAGATTGATGGGGAAAAAGATACTTGTATTGTGAACTTACTCTTCTTTTTTTTTTTTTTTTTTCACATTTTAAATTACAAGAGTGATTTATTTTTAGTTAGCTTCTTTGCCTTAGGCTGTTACTTGCACTAAATATAGAATGATACAAAACTTTATATGCCCTAGAAAATGAACTAGAAAACATAAAGGACGAAAATCGAAATAAGCTTAGCACATCTAGATGGGAATGAAAAAGAAAGAGCGAGATAGGTGTCAAAGATAAAGTGCTAGCTAGCAACAAGAATTCCTTTAATTAAAAATCTTATTAAAAATGAGAGCATATAAAGCGTGTGTTTGCATTAAAGTTGAGACGTAAAAAATCATGTTTAATAAGAAATAATGAATAAGAGCTTTCACCTAAATTTAATGTAGGTATGGAGAGAGAAGAAAAAATTATGTTTAAAAATGAAAATCAAACACGCACAAAGAGTTCCATGCAATAGCATTCGACGAAAGAATCTATAATTACATATCACTCTTTTTCACATTTAAAGTTAAATTAACTACTCCTTATCTTTCATGAAAGAGAAATGTCAAACTTGATAATATTATATATAAGAATGAATTATAACTTGAGATAAATTTTAAGTACTTAATTTATCAATTATGTAAAATCAAAATAAACCATGTAAAAAAAAATTATTTTTATTTATTAATATACTATATAATAAAAAGATAAAGATAAGTTGTTAACCGGAAAATAAAAAGAAAATTCAACAAATATTCGAGACAGATTTTAAGATAAATTGAAAACTGTTATTAAAATTTACCTTTATTTATTTCATTATTTATAATAAAATATATTTTAATATTTGTTGTAAACATAAAATACACAATTTTTTTATCATCTTTAAATATGAGTTTAATATATTAATTTCAAAAAAAGATATCTGTACATTTAACCATTTAAAAAAATTGGTTTACTTTTTCCACATGCATCCTCAATAAGGATAAGAACAATGTAATCCTAAAGTCAATAAAAACTAAATGATAAACTGGTTTATGAGCTTTACCAAAGACAAGAAGTAAAGAAATTTGCCTCTCCAATCTCCATAAAGAAGAACTCCTTAATAGACTGAATGAAGAGGGAAGGGAGAAAAACAATGCACAAGAAAAGGAAAAAATAAAATGAATAATAATAGTTACATGATAACACACTGAATTCAAAATAGAAAAATAAAATTTCCGTTGCCGGGACTTGAACCCGGGTCTCTCGGGTGAGAGCCGAGTATCCTAACCAACTAGACTACAACGGAGTTATGATATGAGTTAAGCCAATCATAATATAATGTAAATTAATTGTTCAATCATAAAAAGAGAAGAAAAGGATTAGGGTTCGTGTAGAATTGTTCACTCTGTTTGTCTAACTAACAGAGACGCATAGCAGAGCGACGGCACCTTCGATCCAGGAACCATGGTATGCTTATGCTCCACTCTGTTCAATTTTCATCACTAATCGATTTTTATTTTTGATAATAAATTTACGTTTCACTTTTGTATTCACCGTTCGATGCAGACTAAGAGAACGAAGAAGGCTGGCATTGTTGGAAAATATGGTAAGCTTTGTAGTCATAATGTTATAAATTGGAAACAGTTTTTCATTTAAACTATCGCGTCATCTTCGAGTTAAGCCAAACACTAGTAATCTCGTTGCGCGAAAAATATAATAATGTATTGATGGTACGGTGTAGGCTTGATTTTATGAGTATAAATATGGTGGGACTTGGCACAAGGGATTTGTTATTGATTATGGTTATGCAATTTGTTGAAAGATTTGAATGTTTAGAAGGTAGAGTTGTATTTGGAGTGCATTTTGCGTATGTGATGGTAGGGTTGTAGTTGGGTTAAGATTTGGGGCAAAATTAAGGTGCCTGATAGTGATCTCTCTTGCTTTTTAGCTTCTTCTCACTATTTTAGGTATTTACTATTCAGAACTCTGATGTTTGGATTGATGGAAATGGTTAAAATGGACTGGAATGATATCAACTTTCGTTACTTCCATTGTTTAAGTTGAATGACATGAAATGGAATTTAATGTAATGCAGTTTATTCCAATATCTCTGGTTTTATTTCCTTTCAATTTGGGAATATGTGATATGGGATGGAACCAATTTCTCTATCTCTCTCTTTGATTCTATCATGAAAATACAAATATATCCAAATAATTTCATCTGTTTCATTTCATTTCACTTACCATAGCTGCAAGAATTTTGGATTTAAGTATGAGTATATATTAGGTTATTGAATATGCTTTTGAGAAGAAATTGGTTTTGTTGGATTAGATTTACCGTTTCATCTTGTTTTCTTATGTTAGGTACCCGATATGGTGCTAGTCTCCGGAAGCAGATCAAGAAGATGGAAGTTAGTCAACATAGCAAATTCTTTTGTGAATTTTGTGGAAAGGTAGATCTTCTACACTCTTTTGATGCTGAATCACCTTGTGTTTTTAGTAGGTGAAGTCAAAATTCATTTATAGCTTTTCTTTTCCATGAAGATTTGAATTCTAATGATGAACTTATTTGTTGTAGTATGCTGTGAAGAGGAAGGCTGTGGGAATATGGGGATGCAAGGATTGTGGTAAAGTAAAAGCAGGGGGTGCCTACACTTTGAAGTAATGTTCTTTCTACTTCCTTTCTACTCATAATTTTTGCCCATTATTCTTATGCTAAACTTGCTCACTTTGTCTCTCACTTTCACAGTACTGCGAGTGCTGTCACTGTTCGGAGCACCATCAGGAGGTTGAGGGAACAAACTGAGAGTTGAGCTTTTTGTTTGATGTAAGATTTTGACTAAATTAACTTGAAAATGTTTCGTTTTTGTTTGGAGAGCTGTATTGTTTTAATGCAATTTGAACCTTTTGAGACGATGTTTTGCTGGAAAGTATCAGGGTACCAGTTTAGTTTAATGGCTTGAAACTTCTTTCTGTTTGGAGAGTAAAATAGCTTCGCCAATGATTGTTAAAAATTTAAACTGGGTAAAATTGGTTTTGATAAAATAATTTTTGATATGTTGAACGGAATTTAAATATATTTAAATTAATTTCAATCACAAATTTTGTATTAATATGAAATTCTGGAGATAAAACTAGAATGTCCTTCATCGTTTTATTTTGCATATCTGAGATTGCTAAAGGCGCAATGAGGAAGTTAATAATTTTAATAATATTCTTGTTTAAAGATTAATAATTTAGATGTAAAATATGGGAATATACTATTTATCTTATTACTCATTTTTACTAAAAGTTAAATTATCAACCCAACAAAAATGATTATCTTTATCATTCTTTTAAAATTTAAATTCATTTGTTTCATTTCAATTTGACCAAATATAGAAGGGGAGGATGAATTCACATTAGATTCGATTCAATAGAGCGGAAGGAAATTGGAAAGAGAGATAAAAAAAGTAAAAACTAAATTTTTGATGTTTGTTTGAGAAAAATAAGAAGGAACCTGCTGATAATATTTTGTTCTTAAATTGAAATGAAATGGGAGCGAAACAATTTACTTTTTAAAAAAATGTATATTTTCTAAAACTAATAAATAATTTTATGTTAGGAAAAAATACTATATTAAAATGTTACATCCTTAACTATTATAAAATATTTTTAAATATAATTCATTCATTTATTTTCATTCTTTTTTATTCACACAAACAAGCATAAATTCTCTCACCACCTTATTTTTATCCATCCAAATGATATAATTTTTATTTTATTTCTCTTTTATGTTTTATCATTCTTATTTCATTTCTTCATACTTTCGTTTTTATTTCATTCCTCGTCCACGAGAAAGAATATGTACGACAGATGATAGATGCAACACCGACAAACAAAAATCATATAATTGAAAATGTGTACAGCAGATTATTGACAAGAAAAAATTAACAATTGTAGAGTCCAAATATTAACAAAATTTAACTCCCGTCTGATATAAATATTATGGTTTTCATAAAAATAAATTATTCATTGAATAAAGTTATTTGAAAACACCCTAATTTTCTAGTTTTGTTTATTAATATAATATATTTTTCAAATGGGAAGGAATTTACTTTTTTAAATAATAAGTAATAGTAAAGTTATTTCACACAATAACTTATTATTTATATTAAATTTCAATAATCTAAATATTAAATTAAAAATTTTAAATAATTAAATTAAGTCTGCAAATTTTTATATATTAATGAGTATTTTCTATTGAACATGAGGATAATTTCACTAAAAAATTTAACATACACTTAACAAGTTAACATTTTCTCCTGACTTGAATTTATTACATTCACAAAAGCCAGAATTTGATCCACAACCTCATAGTAAGTCTCTTACAACTCGCGCTTAACAGTGGCAAATAGAAAGATCCAATAATTTTTTAGGTGGGTCATGATGATATGATAAAAATAATTCATCAATTCATTTTGATTTATTAAAAATTCACATAAAAATTCAATCCATTTTTAAAAAAAAAAATCATTGTCTATCTATATTAACAATTTTTTTGTGTATAAAAGTAATGTTTTAAAATTAAATATTCTTTATTTTAAAAATGTTTTATTTCTTTCTCTTTTTATAAGTTGTTACATTCTTATTTAGTCCTTTAAAATTTACAAGATACTTTTTTATGTCAAAATAATCTTTTAAAATCTCAATTCAATAAACATTTCATATTGTAAGTCAATAGATTTTGAACAAATAGATAAATTATTAATCATTCATAAAATTAAATAAATAAATTAAATATAATTCATTATTTATTTTTATTATAATAAATAAATTAGGTGAATTAACTTGTGAATGAATCAAATGAATGATAAATAAATGAATTCATTTATCACATACAAACCAACATAAATAATTAACATAATATATTTATATATATATACATTAATTTAAATTAATATAAAATATCAACTAATTTCCGGATTACTATTAATGCTAATAACAGAAGTAATGAACATACTACCAAATAATTATGAAATAAAGTATTCCTTTTTCCTTTTTAAAAAAATGTACGTTTCACATGATCAAAACAATATGAAATAAAATCATACAGTGCAAAATATGAGAGACAATTTACTAAAGACACCTGTATTTGTCTAATACCTGATTTTCCCTGAAACTGACTTCAGGGAGGTAACAATATACATAAATTTTAATACTTTATTGATATCATAATTGCACCATGTGAAAATATCAAAATTTCAAATTACCATAAGGACTACACAGGCACATCAAAATTGTTGCTCAAAGGTTATACTCGGTTGATTTTTTATTTTGCTTAAAAATGACTGATGGAAAAGAAAAAGTTAAGAACTTTAAAAATTCTTTTAAACTAAAATTTCTTTTATTGTTTTAGATTCGGTATGACAGAGGAACTAGAATATACAAATTTTTTAAATGACTTCGGTTAGCTTTTTAAAATATTTTTAATAAAAATTGAGCTTCATTATTTTCATAAAATATTATTTTAAAAATAAAGTTGGTTAAGCTTCTTTTTTAAAAGAAAAACTACCTTAACAACACCCTATTTAAATAGAAGAATTAGTTTAATTTAATTTCACTACAATTAAGTTGAGTTGTATGAAAACCTACTCTTTTTTAGGAAATTTTTGAAAACATACTTGAGTCTACCTAACATGACATAAACATTAGATAATAGATATCCAAGATTTACAAGAAATGAGTACGATATTAAAATTTTTATAATATACCAACAATGTGCTTTCTAACCAGCCTTTTACTATGTTAATTTTTATTTTTAAACTTACAAAATTATAAATAATGTTCATTAAATAAAGAATAAAATGAGTAAAACTGAATTCGAATCTTACAAGACTTGAAACTAAAGCTTTGTGAATGAAACATATAAGAAAACAAATACATCAAACGTGGTTAATCGAGTTCTCTGATAATAAAAAAATAAAAAATAATTCAATGTGTAAAATTAATGAATATTTTGCATCAATAATAAAAATATTAAAAGAAAAGAATACACATCTTTTCAAAGCTTAGTGATTTTAAAATATAAAAAAAACCAATTAAAAAACACATGGATTAAAGCGAGGTAATTAGCACCCAGCTTTTATTTAAACACCCTTCATCAGAAAATAATAAATACGACTCATCGCTATAATTTGTTTTCTTTCATATATTTTACTTTTATTTTTAACAAGTCCCAAAATATTCTAAAATCAATGAACCAGCGGAAGATATTTTGGGTAAATGTTAAGTTTTGATTGTTTTCTAGAAAAGTAGTCGCTAACAGAAAAATCTAAAAATTGGCAATGCTTATTTAAGATAAGTATAACTAAATTTTAGGCACTTGTGACCAGCTGAAGTAATGGAAAAAAGGGATGGTGTGTGTTTGACTTGAAGCTGGTGGGTAGCATGATAGATTGTGTGGAGTAGTAGGTACTCTCGTTTTGTAGACATAGAATGAAAAGACGTAGAAAGTAAAAATGTGTTATTCGAAGTAAGGACGCATTGGTTCAGCTAACTCTTCTGAGATGTCAGTTTTCTATTTTAGCCATACACATCAGACGATAAGAAAATATCTTCATCCTTCCACATCTAGAGTCTCTACGCATGCAAACAAGCAAGATTCACAAGTCACATATCAGAATAAACCCTCGATTTCATTCCTAGAGTACTACTCTCCCTTTTAAATGGTCCCTTAAATACGAAAATTATCCAACTAATCTTTCCAAATATTAAAATCATAATAAGTAGTCTTCTAAGTATTGAAAAAACCATCAAATTGGTCCCTAAATATTAATAAAATACACTCGAACTAAATTCAAAACTTTTAAGGATTACTTGTATAATTTTATTACTTAAAAACTACATAGAAGAGAGTAATACTTCAAGAACTAGATTGATGGTTTATTCAATCACGGAGACTCAAGGTCGAGGAACATATTTCATATTCTGTATTCTATATATACTCATTATCGATGTGTTTCGGGATACCGGCTTAACATTATAGCAATTGAATTAAATATCAGCCTAAAATGTGTGAACCCATCGAGGTCCAATCCACAAATTCAAACGCTGAGTAAATGTAGGAGGGGAGCAAATCGAATAAAATAATATAAAATAGTTGAGGATCTGTAATCTGAGACAATCATAAACAACTTGAAGTGAAACTAACCGCAAGAATACAATTTCCAATAAGCAATTACGAGTGCATTGAAGTACCTAAGCACTTGCTCATTGAACTTGAAGCTCACTGAATTCCAAGCTGAAATTGAAACTAAGCACTTGCATGACATCATGTCTGCAATTCTCTTTACAACATGCTCCTAAAAAAAACAGTAGTTCTAGATTTTACTGATTTGAGAAAGCTCATAATCAGAGAGCAGCAAATCAAAAAGACTACAAAGAAAAAGTTTAAGCAAGTCAAGACAGGCAAACTCTTACTTTCTTGGAAGCTTAAAATTTCTGCTTCAGGGCTTGTGAAGTTTGAAACCAAAAACTCTCGGAACATAGTTCTGCGATGGTTTCTGTGGCTTTAGTTGTCCATAGGTCATCAGGAACAGATGAGGAAATGTAGTTCCAAAATAAGCTCCGTCAATGTCTAGAACAGACTTAAGGAAATTTGGGTAGTACAGAATAGTGAGTGTGCCACCATAAACATAGGCAACAATTATAAATTGCAAAGTATATGGAGAATTAGAGACATTGAATCATCATAAAACATACACATTAGGATTTAATGCTTCCTTTATGTAAAATGGAAGCAAGCATAACGAATAATGAACACAATAAAATAGTTTGCCTTCATTTGAAGTTTAAAATGCTAACCACACATACACATACACAGAGACCAGCTTAGTATCGTTTAGAATGTAGTTTATGATCCACAAGCAAAAACAATTTATTCCAGGTTGCAAATGAAACACAACAGATGTGTATGTGTATGTGTGTGTGAGAGAGAGAGAGACAGAGAGAGGTGAATTGCCAAAAACCCAAATTTTAAAAAAGAAATATCCACACAAACTTGACAGTTGAGACTTGAGAGATCAAAACATGTATTTAACAGTCAAAACCAAGGAAGATGATAGATCCACGAGGGAATAAAAAAATAACTTTCTGAGAGATGTTGATGCATAATCAACTAAAACTCACTCAAATTCAATAATATACTGTAATATATAAGGATACTGCCTTGATACTTGGACCGAGGATAGTAAATGTCTTCACACCTAGGGCAGTATATTTTCACAGTACTAGACCTAGGGATGTCTGACTGACCAACTGGAATACAAGGTTGTCCAGAGCAGTAAACTCTTGGGCATCTGCCAAAATCATAGTTCTTGTACTTGTCCAGCTGCAAAAATTCCAATATCATCAACACAAAAAACATTGATGAAAGAAGAGCAATAAAACCATAGCAATTAGTGACAGATAAATCTTACCATTGCAGCCATTCCTTTGCTTGTCAATATGTACCGGGCATGAATCAGACCATAAAGCATCTCGGCTGCTGATTCAATTAACTCATTCTGTTCCTCAGTAAACATGTCACCTACGCAATCCCACCAATCCAATTTAGACTTCAAACAAAACAAAGGTCTAATTTTAGATAAATTTCTCAGCAAACAATCGTGGGAGAGGAAAATAAGAATGTTAAATGAATTATGCTTCTCTTATAAGTTATAATTAACTTTTAGGAGAAGCTAAATGAGATAAGTTCTATGAACTAACTTATGCATAAGCTAATTTTAAACAAATGTGAGAATCATAATTCATTTTAACATTTGTCTTTTTCTCTTATAAGCATTTATTGAGAAGTTAATCAAATCAGGACCGAAGTACATAATGATCAAGTAATAATCCACATTGCATACATGCAAGTAGGCAAATCGAATCACGACAGAGTTTGCGGACATTGAGAATATAGAAACAACACACAGAATCCAATAGCCATGCATTTTGGAGTTGAAAAGTATGAAAGACATTACATAACCATAAGCTTACCATGGGAGGATTCAACATCCAAAATCAAATCGAGAGCATAATCATAGTAAGGCACTTGACTGCTTAATCCACACAGGTTGAAGTCGTCCTGGATGTAATCATCATCAACCTCGCAGAAGAATTCATTTCCCCTCAAATTGCAGAACCACGAGATCCACGACGTGTCATCTCCATCGGAACCACTAACATCAGACTCCTCGCTGTCCGTTTCAGATTCCTCTGCATCCAACAAAACAAAGTCAGCTCAATATTCACTCTACACCACACTTTCCCCGCGTCTCACCCCCTTACAAGCCTCAAAAACCCTAACGGAATCTAATCAAGAGCCTCTACGCTAACAAATCACAGCAAATACTAAATTAACGAGCCCTTGACAGCGCGAATTAACGTAACCCTAGGTGCGCAAAGCGACAGGGCTAATTCCGAAAAGGATTGCGAGATTGGCAATGGAAAGGTTTCAGATCGTAAGAAAGAATGAGAAATCTCGAACCGTCGGAAGCGTTGGAATTCTTGGAGATAGGGGCGTTGACGGAGGCGGAGCGAGAGTCCTTGGCGGCGGCCAAAAGCGAAGAGGAGGAGCGGTCCTTGCCGTTGATGGCGGCGGTTCGCGACGTGGACGGCGAGGATCGTTCGAGCTGTTTATCGAGGACGTCGTTGATTCGCTTCCGATCGACGGAAGTTACCTCCGATTTGGATCCAACGCCTCCTCGCTCTCTGTACATAACTATCGCCGGTGCTTTGCGCCTCCTCGATTCGGTTGGTTCGATGCTCAACCAATCATAACGTTACTGAAACGACGCCGTTTGCAGACAAGCGGGTAGCTAGGGTTTTGAGATTGAGTTGCAGGCTGCGATGCAATTTACAATTTACAGACGCAGACAATGATTCCCCGTTTCGCTTCGCTTCTAACTTCTATAATTTCTCCCTAATATTTTTTTCTTTTTTTCCACATTTAGTGCTTTTCTTCCGGGAAGATATTTTTCTTTCTTTCAGCTTTTTTGTTTTTTTATATTTATTTTTTTTGTTTTTTTATCTGGTATGATTACATAAAATTTAAATGAATTTTAATCAATAAAACAAATGTCATAAAAAAAAAAGTATTAAAAATAGCTTTCTATGAAAACTTTTCTGCTGTTTTCCATGGATTTTTTAAAATAAATATTTTAATATTTCAATATATATTTGAACTTTGGTTTACCGGTGTGTGAGTGACTAAAACTAAAAAGTAAAAGGCTTAATTATTTTTTATTTATAATTTCATGAATTTTATTTTATATATATTATGCTTGTCATTTTTAGTTATATAATTTCATAAATTTTATATTCATTGGTCTCTATAACAATAAATGACATGGAATTAAATAAAAATTGTCTAAAAACATTATATTAAACAGAAGCTCTTTTCCGGTTTTTTTTTTTTTTTTGAAAAGCAATGTTACATAAAGCAAGTAGTTGGTATTCAATATATAGAACTGAGTTATAAGTATAACGATTATTAACAAACTAATACTTGATTATTAAAGTAGATTTCGTTCAATAATAAAAATAAATAAATATTTTTACTGCTTTTTGTTGTAATATTTTTAATTGTTAAAAATATTAAATAATTTTTTGGATATAAAAGTATATAAAAATTAAATATATCTCGTATCGAGAATTTTATTAAATCAGATTATTTAATAATATAACAAAAATCATAATGAAAATTGTGTTTACGAATCATCAAAAGTGTGTTTTAAAAGCTTATCGCTTAAATATATGACTCTGGCAAAAGAAACAATAGTGATAAAAATGTGGTGAATTGGGTTAAATTTTAAAAGAACTAAAATTAACGGGGTTTTTTGTACTTTAGCAGGACTAGGAGGAAAGTTTTTTATCTAAGAAACAAAACTAAGGAAGTAACTGGTTTTTTTAATTTTTCATAAATCTAAATTTAAAATTTTATTTTTTTATTTAATATATAACTAGTATTTTAACTTTATTTATAACTAAAATTTATAATAATTATATATTTAAATAATATTATATTTGAATATATAAATTTATATTTGGCTAAAACCTAATTTGGTCCCTTATAATATTTTTAAGTTTTAATTTAGTCTCACTTTAATTTTTAGGTTCAATTTAGTTTTATCTATTAAAATGTTATAAATATTTGTATTCCGTCTAAATTTCTCAAACGTCGTTTATAAGTGTCAATGTGATTGAAAATCATAGGCGTGATTCTTACCGCTCTTTAACAGAAAGCAAACATTGTTAGTATTTTTGATAGGTGAGACTAAATTGATCCCAAAAATTAAATTGGGACTAAATTGAAATTTTAAAATATTATAAGAGACCAAATTAGAATTTTAGTCCTTATATTTTAATATATAAATTATATATTTACAATAAATAATTTATATTGTCATTTGAGACATAAAATAATTTTTAGTTATTTATAATTTATTTCAAATATTAAAATTTAATATAAATTAAATACAATAAATTATGTAACATTGTGAATCTTAGTTGTTTAATTATATATTTGTCATTAAATTGCTTGTTGTAGTGTTGTATTATAGCTTTGGAGTTAGGAGACTTTAAGAGTTAAATTGGTCTTTATAATAATTGGAATAAGGATAAATTAGGTCACTTCACGAAATGTATATAAAGATTTTCTTAAGTTTTGAGCTTCATAAATCAAGTTTTCATAAATCTAGAGGAGTCTAGTGGTGAGAAGTTCTTCGAACTTTAATCCTCTCAATTTTTCTTTACTGGAAATCCTTTTTTTCCTCTCCTTGTAGCTGATCAAAGCTTAGTGGAGTTGGAGATTTGAAGTTGTGAGGCCTAGAATGCAAGGTCAAAGTCGTGTGAAACTTCTCCTTCCCTATTTGTGGTTCAAATCAACTAGAGGTAAGGAAAATTTGTGTTGATTGTGAATGGTATGTTGATTTGTGTTAATTTGAGTTTATCTAGTTGTTATTATATGGGTTTGATGAAGATGAATTGATGATCTTATTGAGTTTGGTTTTCTTGAAAAGATGCTCATGGAGACCAATTAATTGATTATTGTTATTTGTTGGGTGCATATTGTTTTTCAAGTCAATTTCGTGTTGAATGTGTTGTATATGTGATGTATAGTTGATTGCATGCTGGTGAATTTTTGGTTCTTCGGTGGATTGTGTGAAATCATTTTTTGCATAAGCAAAAGCTGATGTTGCCTTGGGCATGCCTTCATGGCATTAAGCACAACTTCAATATGAGGGTTTCTACTTTCATCATGTTAGACGCAAGATTGGTGGCATTGGACGTAAAAAAAGAGAATTATCTTAAGTTGAACTAGTGTTGGGCGTGTTTTGAATGAAATTGGGTCTAAGGAAAGAGAATCATCTTGGATTAATGTGAGGTTACGAATGGGTTGTTGCCACATTGGGCGCGAGGTCCTAAGAGTGGGCATGAGTTGGATGGCGTCAGCCATGAACAAGATGAGGAGTCCCTTGCATGATGAAAGTGTGTCGATTTATAGTTGAATGATGATGTATGAGTTGTATGATGGATGATGTAAGATGATGAATTCCTATGTTGTAAGTTGAATCAATACATGATGATGCGTTGAGTATTGTTGAAAGTTGATCAAGTTGTATAGTTTACATGTTGCTAAAGTTGTTAAGTTGTTGAGCTGTAGGCATGTGGATTAGATACACGTCTTAGTTACGATATATAAAATTAGAGGAGAGTAAAGTTGTTTTCAAAATTAGAATATCCCACTACGTGGATATACGTTGTGGTCTTTTAAGAGCTCAGTTGAAATCCTTTAGTAAGTAGGTTAGCTTTTTAATGGATACATTATTTTCAATTTTCCCCTCTAAGTTTTATATGATATCTATATGCAACAAGATCAAGGCACACATATACAAAATAACCCATCGAGTAAAGTAATGGGTCGAGTATTTAGTCTCTAAACTAGTATCGAAAGGTAGCCGATGAGTTAATTTTATAAGTAACTTAGTTTTGTAAACTAATGTTGTGGTAGACTCATACAAATTTTTTATACCTTAATAGTAGTACTAAACTTTCTTATTTAAGTGGTAAAACATGAGAAATCAAATTGAATTATTAAATGACCTGGTTAATATAGGCCGTGTGTTGTAGTTCGGTAGAATTTAATCACTTAAACTATTCACCCCTAATATAGAAGACCTCCATAGTTGATATGTGTGACAATGCACTAGTTGTTCAATGTTGTTTATGATGATATTGTTGTTATATTGTAAGTTATTGAGTTGCAATGTGATGATGCATTTATGAGTAGAAATTTGACATGTTGAGTTGTTTTAATAATGATGAGTTGACTATTTTATATTGTTACAAGATGCTTAACTATGAATATATATTATTCTATTTCACAATTTTATCCTATGTTTCCAGTGATTGGAATTGAAATAATCATATTTGATATGAAAGTAGATCAAGATTAACAGGATTGGTTTGGATGTTTTGGTGGTGAGTCATGCTATTGGTGGCTCTTTTTTCTTGAGTTTACTCAAATGTAACCAGGTTGTGTATAGACATTCGACCAACGAGTAGGAATTATTTTGTATACAATTATGTATTGATGTAGTTGTGTATATATAATTATATAGGACATCTTATATAATCTGTGAGGGTTTTGTTTTCGATTGTTTATTTTTTACCCTATACAAGTATAACTTACATGATTGCTTACATAATTGTCGCATAATTAATAATTTTAAAATAAGTATGACAACATGTTAAGTCGTTATAAATAATAAATTAAAAAAATTTATAAAGACTTATTTAAAAGAAGCTCTTAATTTCACAAAAAAAAACTCCTAAAAATATTTTTAATTAAATATAAAATTTAATTTGGATTGAGATTCAACCTAACCTTAAAATGGGTTTAACTAAACTATTTTTTTTTTTAATTTTACATTATAAAGTAGATTGGTTTCAATTAGATCATCATTTTACCATATTTAATTGAATTTATTGTTAAATAAAAAAGATAAATACAATATTCTTAGGAGAAAAAAATTATAACAAAATGTATTTTACAAAAATAAAATATTTGGGTAACATATTAAAAATTGTTAGAGTAGAAAAATGAGATACTATACCCAGTTAAAATATTAATAAAAATTAATCATCAATTAAATAAATATTTCACATTAATATTAAAAATAAAGATGATTTTAAACGATTTTGAACCGTTTTAACATGAAGCAATTCAACAAATGCCTCATCCATGAGGCAGTAAAATGACCTGCAATAGCAGGTTTTCCAACTTGTTTAAAATTGCAAAATAGTCTTTATATTATATTCAGAGGCACTGCGGAGGCGCGATGGCGGCGGAGGTGTCGTCTCCTTCCACGGTGGTGGCAGCGAAGGCTTGACTTTGTTCGCGCAGTAGCAGCGGAGGCACGGGCTCCTTCGCGCGATGGTAGCGAAAGTGCGACTTCGTTCGCGCAGTGGCGGCGGAGGCATGGACTCCTTCGCGCGATGGTAGTGGAAGCGCGACTTCGTTCGCGCAGTGGCAGCGGAGGCGTGGCCTCCTTCGCATGGTGGCAGGGCGAAGGCGCGGGCTCCGTCGTGCAGTGGTAGCGAAAACGCGACTTCGTTCGTGCGGTGACAATGCGGAGGCACAGGCTCCTTCACGCGGTGGCAGCGAAAGTGCGACTTCGTTCACACAATGACAGCGGAGGCGCGACCTCCTTCTTCATGCGGTGGCAGCGGAGGCGCGAGCTCCTCCTCCTTGGCACCACCGACCTCCCCCTCCCTCCTATGCCGCTACCTCCCCCTCCCCGTTGTCCGCGACGTTCAACTCTCCCAAGGCCTTTCCTAAACCTTAAACCTCGCCACCTCCAAATCTGACCCTCCTCGCCCCTAGCTCGCCCTTGACGGCCTTGCCGTCGCACTCGCCACTGTCGTCTTCCTCGTCCTCACCACCTGTCGGCGGCCAAAATAGTAAGCCTAAATAGGAACTAATATGGAAAATACAAAAATTTTCATAAACAAATTACAAGTAACAAATCTGAAACGTTGATTATTTTATTATTAAATCTAACGGTTAAAAATGACGTTGATGTATCACTTTTCATACTGCTTCATGTTAGAATTTTTGAACAACTTTCATGTAATTAAGACTTCACATTGTGAAAAGGGAAAATAAATCTTTATTTTTACCCCGTAATTACTCACGTTATTTTGAATGTTAACTTCAAAAGCCAAAGGAAAACTATGTTAGTACCAACTTTTTTGTCACAGATACTTGTACGTTAAGAAGAAGAAAAATTCCATTTTTGTTGAGCACCAAATGAGCTGATTTATTTTGTTTAATTTTTTCTTTTTGTATTATTGTAGTATTTAAAATGGGTCATATTGTATGTTGCCAACATGACTTCTCAGTTGGCTGGGTTTTCCTTAGTTCTTATCCACCACTTTCTCTTATTATGGCCTTACATGATCCAAACTACTTTTCATATTGATTTCATCTACCTTCAATGTCTCCTAATGCCTTAACTGGACACAACCCTGTATCTTTCAATTTCCATGTCCTTATTAACTTGGTATTGTCCTTTTCCCCCTCCCTTTTTCTTTCTTCTTCACAATAGCTTGTTCTGTTCTTAACATACAGAAAAACCAAAATATGTAGGAACAGAACACCTCTTCAAGACAACATCTAGAAGAAAAAAAATTTGTTGACCCGTTCTTTCCTTAACATATAGAAAATTTTAAAACGAATAAATTTTATTTTAAATAAACGCTATAAATTTTTATTTAAATTTTAAATTTTTTATTAGTTAAAAAAAAAATAGGACTGTAAAGAATAGCAGTATTTATAAAGATTAAAGGCCAAAACCAAAATATATATATAAAAAAAAACTAAGTATCTCTTAAAGCAACACTGATTTTTTTGTAATATGACATTTTAGCTTTGACATAAATTCACTTAATTGGTATTTATTTTTGAAAAATAATTATAATGAATACAAAATAAATCATATTATTAATTAAAAAATCCATGAAAACAATCATAAAACAAAAGTCTTATAAACGTTCTCACGCAAAAAAAAGTTCCTATTTAATATATAAGAGTTTTATGTATTTTATATTATGTTTAAATGTCGTTGATAAACTTGAATCTTGTAATTAGGCTACAACTTCCTTCCTATAAATAAAATATTTTGAGTGAATCAGAAAGTATCCATCAGCTTGAATCTCGTTCATTCTAATTTGTAACTTCAATCATACTTCATACCGATTAATGTGTCCCAAAATATCATTGAATTTAAAAGGGCTGGCTACAAATTAACATGCTTAGATTCTGTAATCACCTCTAAAACAAAAGTTCTGCACTTCTGCGTAATGTATCTCACTGAAGAAAAAAAAAAAAAAAAAAAAAAAAAAAAAAAAAAAAAAAAAAAAAAAATAATAGTAATAACACTCGTTCCAAATAACAAGTTATATAAAATGTTATTAACATGTTAGTTTTCTTGTGTATTTGGTGTTCTCCGATATCTAACTCTTGGAAATAATTTTTGGTTTCGTTCAAGTGAATGAATTTTCCAAGTTTTCGAAACTAAAGTTTAGAAAATGGAAGCATAAAGATGAGAACGGTAAAATAAAGAACTATATTCCAACTAAACATGGCCATAATATTTCCACAAGTTTCTATAAAGATGTGAATGCAAATCTCAGCACTCGCAGAGAGTACCCCTATACTAGAAGTTCGTGAACTGATCAAAGCAGCGGGTGAGAATCCAGAGTTGATTCCCCTTACTTCGTGTATTGAATTGTTTAAATAATAACTGTCAAATTTTCACAACAGCTCCAGATGACTTGTTATTACATCTGGGCATGACTGGGCTTGCAGAAGCTCTAAACGGTTGAAAGGTGGAGCAAACTGCAAAATGTAATCTTCACCTGAAAACCAAAATATACACACTAATAAACAGAAAATAAAAGCATGTACACACTATATGATGGATTGAATTTTTATTAAAAAAGGATTTCCTGCTAGATTTCATCATCATTTCCACATGTTTGTGCAATATTTCATCAGATGGGGTCTAGTATACTCACCTTCTTTGACTGTTCCATACAGCCAGCATAATACCTCATCAGCAAATGCCAAGCAGACTCCTCCCTGCCAACAAAATTTTGGTGATTATGAGAAGTTAAAGGGTGACATTCAGCACTTTTGGAGAATAAATATGCTTTTATGATATTTTATCCTCTTAAGGTATCAAATGATTCGTAAATAGCTATCCAATGATTGATTGCACGTATATGTGCGTATTTATTTAGACATACTCGGTGATGTTGGAGAAGGAAACAACATTTGGAACATCCTGAGACCCTAACCCACAAGGGTTTACTATAATTTTATTTAACTAATGCAATAGCCGACCAAAACAAAAATTAGCCAACATGCACCTTAGAGCAGTTAAAATGTACCTGCCAGTAGTTCTTCATTTTCACTCTCTGAGTTATATCTTTGGTTCTAAGCCTTTCTGTTCGAACAAGACGACCTGCGTCATCCCTGGTTCACCAGCTAGGATATATTAATATACACACAACGTAGAAAGTAGAAACACTAGCAGTATGATTTTCCATTTGTTAAGCATGCGAAGTGGAACAAGATTATGTTTTAATAAGCTGAAATCAATTTCTCCAAATCTAGTTGAACTGAGCAACTTTCTAGCACAATGCTAATGAAAATCAAATATTGTGTAAAGATGTGAAACAGAAACATAAATTACCTAAATCCTATGACAATGTACGGAACACCAGCCAGGAAAGACTGAATCTGCAAGCCAAAACAGAGCCTTGTTCAATTTATGAATCACAAAAGTAAAAAGGAGCACATGGAGATGAAAGGCAAAAAGATTCATTACAAAGGATAAAAATGTACCCAAAACTTTAACAGTTTCTCTCTCTCAAATCTTTCCTCAGTGTGATAATTTAACTGCATAATAAGAAAGGGCAAGTGCATATTGTCAAGCCAACATAAATGCACTATTAGGAGAGGGGGAGGGGCCAGCTGAAATTAAAGTATAACACAAGACAGCCAGAACTACTTCAACCTCACAACTTGTCTTTAATTCCACATAAAATCTCTTTCCCTCATTAGTTGAATCACAGCAATCCATCTCAGCACCCATTAAAATGCGGTGAGCTCCTAATTTTGTCTTAATCACAGAACAAAATTCAACATTGGCATCAACATGATGTATCCCTTCTCCATCATCTCTTCTAGGATCTTCAGTGGCAAGGCTCTCAAAACAATATCCTACATAACATCTAATTGCCAAACACATTAATTTTAAGGCTCATCCAATAAAAAAAATTAAATGAAGAAGTAGGAAGGAATACATTTTTTATACTAGTTAAGCAGTAGAAAGCAAACCATCATTTTTTACATATTAAACATTGCCCCTTCATTTTCGAAATTGAACATTTCTTTGATTGCATTATGAAGCACAGACTCATACATGGACACAGACATGGCTAATGTCTAAATATAGGACATCATGACACCACATATGTACACACAATGAGAGAGACGACAATGAAATTAAATATGTTTAACATAACAGAATATATAAATTGATGGCATATACCTTTTAAAACCAACCTTCTATGTTTTTCATGATAACAAACCTAAAAAAAGGTATTCTATTATATTCTAAGCCGACTCATTTAAAAGTTAAAAAATGAATGTTTATTTAATAATATTAAAATGTGTCCATTTATAGGGTGTCGTTCAAGTGTCTAAGTTGAGCGGACGTGTCAGGTTAAGTGTCCAAGCCAACCAAAAAAAAAATTTAATTGGACACCTAATTCAAAGTGTCTAACACGTGTTGGTGCCAAAATCATGTCCAACACTGAAACTTTGAACAAGTGAGGTGTTCGTGCTTCAAAGATTGCATTTAGTAGTATTCTACATTGTTAATATTTTCCCACATCAATTGACTTGAATTTTTGAACTTGATTTCAATATAAGGCATTATTTCATTTTCAACAATGTCGAGGGAAAAAGATAGTGTGATATGGATGCAAATCATTTCAATCACATCTTGATACCACACACTTCCCTGAGATGATGCTTTTCAATTTGACATAACATCCAACTTTTATTGTTATACTGATTACAATCTCTCTCACACAGATGAACATACCCAAATCATCTGCCTTGATTGCTGCTCATTGACTATATTGAAGAATTACATACCCAAGCATCGTCAAATAAAAAGCCATGTAAACCTACCTCCTGCGATCTAAATCACTTTGTGGTCTTTCTGGTAACTTATGCACATCAAGATAGACAACCCCATTCCTTTTGTGCACTCCCATTTCCCAAGGCTCATGACGGATATAAGCTGTTGCCAGTATCTGAAAAGACAGGTGTACTTAGTTAATACTTGTGTGAATATCACATGCAGTTAAATTTAACATCTTGCAACTCACAAGGTTGATAAACTTAGCTCAGAAATTTCTTAGAAAAAACCTGACAAGACTTTAACCAAGAGCAAACAGTTCAAAATGAATAATTACCTTGTTAAGATTGTTACGGAATGTCTGCAAAGATAAAACAAAATTGATATATGACCATCAGAAATTAGTTCATCAACGTATTAAAATATTTAAAAAATATAGAACATGATATACAACATACCACAAAATGAATATTTTGAAGAGGAATATTTTTGTCTCTAATGCAAGCAAGAAGATCGCCAAAGCCTTCTGAGCCTAAGTCTGCTTTACAAATTATCAATAGAAGAATAAGATTACTAACAACATTAGTGGTGTACAACTGTACATTGTTTTACATGCACAAATCGTACAAGTAGCATTTCAAAATCTAACTAACTTCTCAAACCAGAAGATTAGATTATAGACAAGCACATGCCTTTCTTGGGAATGAATGTATCATAACCTTCATTCAAATCAGCTCCAATATCCTCGGTGATATGACGCTTAAAAAGTCTCTAAACAAATAGGAAAAAGAAAACACTTAAAATGAGCGTAATAACAAAAGAATCTATAACAAAGAGAACCAAACAAAGAGAACTCAAATAATTGAGGATCCCAAACAGCTTACCAAGCTACGATCGTCAAAGTATACTTCCCCGCCTTCTACACGACTATAGCAGGCAATTTCACAAGGCTATCAAAATAATCAAGAAAACAAAATCAGAACATATACATGCAGAAAGGCAATTTAATAACGCTTTAACATTACATGCAACCAATACATTCAGAAAACAAGACAGGAAAAAACACAGGTACTTCAATATTTAAATCTTACAATACAAACCCAATAGAACCTTTTCCTTTCCTCACCAGTTTCAACATGATGAGTAAAGTTTAAATTGAGATAAAAAAATTCTATATTCATGACAATTTCCTGGATTCTTAAAGCAAAATGATTGTTAAATTGCTTGATGCACCAGCAGTTAAATACAGGAAAATGGCATTCCCTTACCTCCTGAAAAGCAATGCACTTCCTTGACAGTGTTTCTTCACTTTTTGAAAGCTTCAAATCAGAGACAAATCGCTCATCGTGGCGGCCATTCTGAAACCTATTTCCGTACCCAAAATTCTGTCTCTGAGGATAAGGTCCAGGACGAGGAAGAAGGCCAGCTCCTCTATCATTTCCATGCCCTTGCTGCCAACGACCACGGCCAAACCCCCCTCTACCCTGATTATTTGCATTGCGGGTGGCAGGCAATACTGCCAGAGAAAATCACATCTTGCCATAAAACGAATTAAGAAATAAAATCAACAATAACATTTTTTTTAATTCATCAACATTTCTCAACTACTGCAAGAAAACTGAACCACCTTGGCAGGACAAATCCCAAATGCCTTGTGAAAAAGTGAAGTATGATTTTAGCTCAAGAAAACAAACAAACAAACAACAACAACAAAGCCTTTTCCCGGTAACTGGGGTTGACCCCACACATACACACACATATAATATAATATAATATAATATAATATAATATAATATAATATATATATATATAATATGTATATTAAATGACCCCTTTATGTAAGATTCATGACCGGAGGAACCACTTTACCTCTATAGAAGCTGACCTAATATGGAGTTATATACTAACTAAACAAAAAAAAAATGACACCTTTTATTTTGAATCATATCTACAAACAAACATTAACCTCTAAATGCTTAATAATTTTGCTCAGCTTCTTTTCTTGGCCTCCCTTGGCCTCTTGTCATTGAATTTCCTTCCATCTGATTCACTCTCCAGGCTTCTACCTGTTTCTCCGCACATACCCAAACCACCTAATGCAAATTTCTACCATATTTTTTCTATGAAGCACCGACTTCAACTCTGACACCCGACACTACTCAGACACCGGCACACAACTAATGTCCAAAATGTAGAACATGGGGACACGCCACATATAAGCATTTAGCTAAGAGTAAGTGTTGACTCACTCTTTGGGCTCGAGTCCAAGTTATGCGGAAAGGTGCTAAAGCTGTGTTGGAGAGGTGTTTGAAAAAAAAAATTTAATTGACACGATGAAGAGGTGTCGGGCACGCCGACACGGCATTGTAGATGTGTTCATACTTCATAGTATTTTTCTATCATACACACTAGTCACTACCTCAACTTTCACCATAATCCATTCCTTCCCAAGTAACGCATGCTATATATATATATATATATATATATATATATATATATATATTGTTTTTTTTACTATCAGGCGTAGTAATTCACCTTCCTAACCTATCCTAAAAGTACACAAAACATAACACGATTTGTTCATAAGTGAGCAACAAGACTAACCAACAAGCACTTACTATTTTTCTAAACCATAAAATCCTTTCACCCTGATAAGTGATGGAAATCACGAAATAGTACCAATACAATTGCTCAACACGTAACTGAGAGAAGGAGAATTTACCAGGAATGGGGTAAGGACTTCGAGCGAGGGTTTTACAGTAATCTTCGTTATCGGAGCCAAACAGATCTTTGTCTTCGTCGTCGTGTTGGTGATGGGCACGCGCCTTGGTGCTGTCTACGACGTCGCCATTCTCCTCGTCGTCTTCGGCGCCGCTGCTGGCGCTTCCGCTGGCGGAGGAGGAGTCGGCGGCGGCGTCACTGGCGTTGGAGGAAGAGGCGGAAGACGACGACGATGAGGAGGAGGAAGCGGCGGAGGAGGAAGAAGAGGAACCGGTGGAGTGGGACCCGTTTTCGTTGTCGGAATCTTCGCCGAATAGGTCCTTCTCCGTGAAATCCATTCGACACGCTTTTGTTTTGCGTTTCAGTGGAATGCAATGCTCTTCAAGCATTCTTCATTTTCTACTTTCTTCTCCTTTTTTATTGGGCCATGACTCAGGGATCTAGCCCATTTCTCTTTGGGCCAATGAAAAGATGTCAAGTATCCACAGTTATATTTTACACGTTACACTTGATAATAGTGAATAATTGAATAAAAAAATATATCACTGATTAAAATTAAGCTTAAAGACACTTTTTTCTTCAAATTTATGGCAATTTTTTTATCCTCAAATTTAAATTTTTATTTTTTAATTTCTGTAATTTTTAAATTTTTATTTTTGTCTTTTAAGTCACCAATAACATATTTGAAAATGATAAATAAATTTTTTAAACAAAATTTGAATATAAAAATTAAAATAAATTTTTTAAAATTACATAAACTGAAAAAATAAATTTTAAATTTGAAGAACTAAAAAGATTACCTTTAAAAGACTTAAAACATATTTAAGTCTTGAAATTATTATTTGATTATTGAAAAATAGTGCAATTGTACAAGCTTGAAAGATTATCTTGTGCAATAACATTTTTAAAGAGTATTATTCAACAAGAGTAGTTTTAGGAGTTCTTTTAGCTTTTTATCTCATTCAATTTTTTTATTTATCATATTTACTTATGAATTAAATTTTAATATTTTTAATGTAAATTATTTACCCAATATTTAAAATATAATTTATATATTCAAAGATAATATTAATTTATATATAACTTAATATAAATTTTAATTATATATAGTAAATATTTAGCCTATAAAATACATAAGCTAAAATACTTATTTATTGATAATGGATACATTTTTTTAAAGTTAAAATAAGTAATTTCAAAAATAGTGTTTTATTAAGAAGCAGATAGGCGTTTTTCTTTTTAAATAGAAAATATATTAAAAAAATACATATTTATTAAAAAAATGTATTTAAAGAAAAAACTTAAATAAACAGGCCCAAGGCCCAATAACAAAAAGATGTCTAGCTTATAGAGTTTTATGTATTTTCTAGCCATACTAAGTTCAATTTAGGGAAAAGATCGG